GTTCCAAGGACGGCCGCTTCCCATGTGACCGCCGATAATCCGGCAGGAAAGGAAAATCTAAGAGGCTGTGAACATACAAATGCAAAGACAGACAAGTAACGACAAGGGCACAACATCTGTTGTAGTAACAATTGCGCTAAGACGTCATAGTAATCTCTACGATATATAGGACTGCTATTTCCTATGCGTTTACTTGTAAATAAATAATACAACTTTTTTATTGAGCAGTATTTAAGGTATTAGGTAGGTAAATATTCAGTATTAGTTTGGAAAAAACAACAACAATAGATACGAGACTAAAGCTACTGAGGACGAGTATGGCGGAATTCAATGCTTGGCAATGCTGGGCGCCCCACAAGACGAAGCAATGCGGCGTTCTCTATGGAGGCGTTAGCCTCTCTAGTAGCGTTGTAGCAGATTAGAGCAAGCTCACTACTGTCTGATCGTAACAGAGATTGAAGAATGGTCATTACAAAAACGCTATTTTCCGTGGGCAATCAAGCTAGTACAAAAAACCAGCAAGCACCCTGCTAGCACCAATACAGCCAGCAGGTAGCTTGCAGGGATTTCCAGCAGGCCAGTACATACCCTGATGGAACCAGCAGAAAACCAATGCGCACACTGCTGAAATTAGTACAACCAGAACGTAGCTTGCTGGGACCATCAACAAGCCAGTAGGCAGCGTGCTGGACCCAGTAAAGAACCAGTAGGCACCCTGCTGGAACCAGCAGAAAACCAGTAGGCGCACTGCTGGAACCAGTACAACCAGCAGAAAACCAGCAGCTTAACTGCTGGTTCCACCAAAAATCAGCAACTCCTAATAGAAAACCAGCAGGAAATTTTAACCTGGGGCTGCCAATGTACTGTGCAACTGATTGGTTAGAGTTCACAACCTTGAAGAAAAATCAAAAGGCTGGTCGTTCGCGATCAATTTCTACAAGCTCGCCGTTGATAATGTGCTTGAACGTTGACATAGCGGTCATGAAAATGTCGCGCACACACCACACAGGTCTCGTCAAGCCCATTGATTCTTCTCTAGATGTTTTGTGGCCACCTTTGTAGGCGTATGGGTCTGTGGGAGCTCTCAATAAGCCTCTCTTCTTCGCAGGACTTACATCCTCCTTTGCATAAAACAAGTTGTTTTTTTTTCTTTTTAGCGATATGGTACGTTGTAGCCGCTAGACAGATCCGCACTTGCACGCGGGCACAGCACGAACCTTTCGAGACGCAGCTCAGAATGAAATTTCAGCAAACACCGAAGTTCTAGTGCCGAATTCCAACACCCCCCCCCTCCAACTAGTGACAGTGGATTTCCCACTCCCCTTCCACGAACGATCTAAACAAGACATACTCATCTTCAGAGCAATTGATTTTCCAGGAAATTTTTCGCAGCTGTTTTCTGCGTGCGTAGCAAAGCACAATAAAACGGGTACATTTCCCAAGTCAACTATTGGTATACCAACAGTTGTCTTCGAGCTGTCTGTATACAGACAGCTCAAAGTAGGAAAAAAAAACAAAACAGGTGCGTCCTCTGTAGCATACTCTTTTTCGTTGGTACTTAATCAGTCTGGCAGTTACTTGTTGATAATTGCGGCCTTTGTCAGCTGAAACATCCAGATTGATTTGGGGGGGGGGGGGCGGAAAGCACAGGTAAAGTTGCATTTTGAGGAAGTTGTCTTGCTAAAACAGTTCAATTGTGTGCGCGGCGCAACAATACGTCGAAGTACAGTTTGTGCATCTGTAGAAGGCTATAGGATATATAACAATTATATTTATTTCCTTATATCCCTGCCACGAAGATAATTAGCGATAATATCTTGACTACGGTTGAAATGAGTGTTTCGGGAAGCAGTTTTGCGACAGGGATGCAGTTTCACTGCCGCCAGCTGATGCCATTGTCAACCTCTCCCTCCCCTCGCCAGCTGGACGGATGAATGGATGTATCCAGTTGTGCTCTTTAGATCAGGTGGTGACTCACGCCACCTAGCCGTAAAGTTAAGTAGTATCACTGTGCGTTTAAGGATTGAATTTCACTCGCTCCTCGATTGTAGCCACCAATCAGTTAGCCTCCTCCTGGTTGCCTATTTTGCCTTCACCGTGCCTAAACCTCAACGATTTGAAAAATTCAATACCCTTATCTTCGACTATAGGGTGGAGCCCTTTACAGAACATTATCAAATGTTCAGCCGTTTTCTCCTCCTTTCCACACGCACTGTATATCGTGTATGTGCCTTCGTATTTTGCTCGGTACGTCTTGGTCCGCAATACTCCCGTTCTAGCCTCGAAGAGCAGAGAACTACCCCGACAATTATCGTAAATATTTTCTCTTGAAATGTCCTGCTTAAAAGTTTGGTAGGTCTCCAGTGATGATTTCGTAAGCATTTCCTTCTTCCACACGTCCTTCTATGTTTCCTTCACCTTCTTCTTAACCGACGTTTTCTTTAGGCTTGGTACTCTGCTGTTGTCTAAATACTTGCTTGACAGTTTTCGAGTTCGCTTCCTTCATTTAGTATCAACGATCTTCATGTACAAGTAGCTGAAAGCATTGCCAGCCCAACGCTCCTCTCCTATTTTTCTCAATCGCTCCTCAAATTCTATTTTGCTGCTAGCTTCCCTGCACTCGAACGATGCCCATCCCATGTCACCCTGCACCGCCTGATTTGGGGTATTCCCGTGTGCTCCCAAATGAAGTCTACCTATGCCACGTTGTTTCTTTTTAAATCTTGCTTGAACCTCTGATTTCATGCACAAGACCGTATTGCCGAACGTCAAACCTGGGACCATGACCCCTTTTCATATCCGTGTCACAACATCATACCTATTGTACTTCCACAGTGCCTTATATATTTTCATCGCCGCTGCATTCATGTTGCCTTTAGTCATTACGTATCTTTCGTGCTCCCTTAGGTTCTCAGCCCCGTTGTTTCTCCAAACGCCCGTCATCATCATCATCATCAATAGTAGTAGTAGTTGTCTAACTACGCCCACTGCAGGACAAAGGCCTCTCCCTTCCGTTCCACCAGTCAACTCACTCCTGTGATGGCTGTTGCCAATTTATACCCGCAAACTTTCTAATCTCATCTGCCCACCTAACTTTCTGTCTCCCCCTAACTCACTTGTTTTCTCTGTGAATCCAATCAGTTATCCTTAATGACGAGTGGTTATCCTTCCTACGCGCTACATGCCCGGTCCATGTCCATTTCTTCTTCTTAATTTCAACTATGATATTCTTTACGCCATTTTTTTCCCTGGTACACTCTGCTCTCTTCTTGTCTCTTAAGGTTACACATATAATTTTCCTTTCCATCGCTCGATGCACCATCTTCAATTTAAGCTGAACCCTCAAGCCTCCAGGTTTGGCTTCGTAGGGTAATTACCGGAAATATGTGGCTGTTATATACCTTCTTTTTGGGGTATAGTGGCAATCTACCAGTGATGATTTGAGTGCTTGCCGAATGGGCTCCACGCCATTCTTATTCTTCTAGTTATTTCAATCTCGTAGTTCGGCTCCTTGGTTATTAGCTGTCATAAGAAGATGTAATGCTCATTACGGAGTGTTCAGTAGAAGTTGGGTGTACGGTAGTTAAACAGGACACTGGCAAGCTGTCCCAAAAGACGAAGAATCTCAATAAGAAACGTCAAGCCTGAAAGTCTCAAACACAACAGACAAAATAAAACTGGCAGAGCTTTCGAAGTTGGTTAATAAGCGCAAGGTATCCGATGTAAGAAGTATACATAGATAGAATTGAACACGCTCTAAAGAATGGAGGAAGCGTCAAAGCGGTGAAGAGGAAACTGGGAATAGGCGAAAACCAGATGTGTGCATTATATATACGGGACAAGGAGGGAAAAGTAACTACCAATATGAATAGGATATTTAAAATAGCAGAGGACTTTTAATGAGATCTGTACAGTAGCCGGAACAACCACGACCATAATGTAAGAACTCACATTAACCCAGAGAAAATCCCACTAGTAATGATAAAAGAAGTCAGAAATGCCTTGGAGGGAATGCAAAGAGGTAATTGCTGCTGGTGAGGATCGTGTACCGACAGATCTGCTGAGCGACAGAGGACGGATTGTGTCAGAAAAATGAGCCACCCTATTTACGAAGTGTCTCCTGACGGGGAGGGCACCAGGATCTTGGAAGAATTCTAACATATTAATCCACAAGAAAAAGGACGACAAAGACTTGCAGGATTACAGGCCCATCAACTTGATCTCTGTCGTTTACAAGCTATTTGCAAAGAACACTCGTTAGTTCGCACTCATATCTGTACGTACCTGTGTTAACGTTTCCTGCGTCGTTTTATTGCGATAGCAATTATATGGACACTCTCAGCTGAATTTGCCGCCAGCGTCGGCGTCACTCACCGTACATGTGTGCGTATCTATATATATATATATATATATATATATATATATATATATATATATATATATATAAACACAAGAAAGAAAAAATTCAGAAAAACAATCCAGCATGCAGAATCGAACATGGTACCTCTGAAGCGTGAATGCTAGGCGTTAACCACTGAGCCATGGAAGAGCACGTTCTTCAACGTTCAAATGGCAAGTAATTTATATCTACCACTTACCGCTGGTGACAGGCATGTCGGGGGGCGGGGGGGGGGGGTCTATCGTGTTTTCAGCATTGCCAGCAAGATGGCGCGATGAGCGCATGTCGTCACGACGCGGTGGTGCGCTCTCTAATCTCCCACGTGTACTTTGCCCCGCGGAGAGGGTGTGGACGCTTGTTGTTAGTTGTTGTTAGTTAGCTCTCGTCCTGCGTGTGCTGTTTTGGTGCACCACTTGTGCGTGAGCAGCGCGCTGAACGTTTTGATCTGCTAGCAGTTCTCAGCATTACAGTCCAACTTTGTGCTATCGCATTTATTACTTCCGCCTTGCGGCGAGACTGTGACTTTTTTCTTTCACATATTTATTTTTATTGGTGGCAGTCTGTTTCGCAATGCAGTCCTTTGAATGAAAATTTGGTCGCGGTCAAATATAGCCTCCTTTTTATTGATGCTGCTGGACTGTGGCTTCGCGGGCCTCACGTTCTGACCCGCTGCTGATTCAGAAACTTTGTTGCTGCCGACGTGTCAGGCTCGTCGAGTCTGTAGTGCAGCATGCTTGACTCATCCGTGGTAGCCGTGGTTGTCAGGTGGCAGGTGAACATGATAACCAAAAGGCGCGAACGAGTGGTAGCCGTGGCCGTGCGATGGGCCGCGGTACACTTTGATGCTGACGTGACCCCCGTAGCCGCCGCCGTAGCCGGGTGCAGCTTCCGACACTCGACCGCACAGCAACAGCAGCATGCCGCACGTGGCCGTCAACAGCAACAAGCCGCTTTCCTGCAGAAGAAGTGTCATGTCGGTGAGAAGGAACTTTGTCTTAAAAGAAGATTGGGAGACGTACACCCACGCACTAGTAGGACTGAGTAGTGGCACACATGTATGAACGAGCCGCGACTGCGCCAATTTTCGTAAAGTAGCAACACTGCGATTAATTTAGTTTGCAGTGGCAGGCATTATGACATCGTTCATATCACTGGTTTCGCACAACACATCGGTATATCTACACAGATTGGGAAGAAGCGCTGTGTTTTCGCCAAACACGAGCGAAGTGCTCAGTGATCAAAATTTGTCACACTGTGCATGAGTTGCTGTGGGAGAGACAGAAGTTAAAAGACACTAAAGAGAAACAATGACTTGGTTTAGATTGGCAAACTGCCCTCTGAGAACTGTAACACCACGTTTCCAACACCAAGTTCCCTGTAATACCAACACCTGTAACATCAAGTTCATTATTAGTGAAGAAAATTGAGGTTGAAGTTTCATTTTAAAATGTCGTGCCGAACTTTCCACCCGTGACGTCAAAAAATTTGATAATGTATTTTTCGTATTTTGCGACATCATGTGGCCCGGAGAAATTTTCTGAAACTTCGTAAACTAGGTCCGTATTTCAATTTCATCGATTACAAGCTACGTAGGACCCAGTAGACGCCTTCAAAATCTATGACGTCATGGTGTTTGGTGCGAGAAAGCGGCGCCTCCACCCGTTTCTCCTCTTCGCGCGTTTTCTCGCCTACCAAGCGTCGTGTCGCGCGCGGTGTTTTCGGTTTTGTGAAATCGTACTTTACTAATATGCGAGAAATCGTTTTTCTCTTTAGTATTCAATTCAGAGTGCCCAAGCTTTATCGATGTTATGCAGCAAGAATAAAGCAGTAAATCATGATGATAAGATAAAAAAACTTCGGCAGATCGCACTTACCTTGGAAATCGATGTTATGCGAAGCATGTGCATGAAAAGTGAGTGTTGTAATTTTTTAATGGAGCAAAAAGTTACGAAGTGGCACTAAAGATATATGCAAATTTACACACAGACATACGCATGTTAAACAGCCGCATACGTGTTACATAACCAGTGTTTTACAGTTGCGTAACGTTGCTAACAGTAACATGGATACTAGCAACACCACAAGCGGTAAGCTGATATGAAGCATTGGTGCTGGCGAGAATAGTAGCCCTAGCTGGACCACGGTGTAAGATACAATTGTTCGTATCTTACACCGTGCTTTAGACACTGCTAGATAATTGAGCTTCAGCGGATGGCACTCAACTGTAATTGACATTAATTCGACGTGACGGCCGCATGTTTCATAGGAGTATACATATGTAATGCTTATTAAGTTGGACAGCCAGCACTGCCATCACAATTGACATACGTTTCACGAACACTATAGTTATTATTTGAAAAGTAGTCCCCAGACCTGGCGTGTTTCTATGGTATACCTATAAAGAGTGCTTGATTGCTACGCAGAATGCTGGGGTTCGATTCCGTCTGGGACATTTACTTCCTTCTTTGCACCTGTCGGGTGCCCGCCGTGGTGTTCTAGTGACTAAGGTACTAGGCTGCTTACCCGCAGGTCGCGGGTTCGAATCCCGGCTGCGGCGGCTGCATTTCCAATTGAGGTGAAAATGCTGTAGGCCAGAGTGCTGAGATTCGGGTGCACGCTAAAGAACCCCAGGTGGTCGAAATTTCCGGAGTCCTCCACTACGGCGTCTCTCATAATCATATGGTGGTTTTGGGACGTTAAACCCCACAAATGAATCAATCAATGCACCTGTCGGGTAAACGCTGTCGATGTCAGCTTTTTCTTAACGCTAACGCGTAGAAACAACCCGCGGCTGTTCTCGCCATTCCTGTGTCAATCACCCGTATTCCTGTGTCAGTACCTGCATTCATGTGGCACATACCCACCTTCAGGTGTGTGCCAGACGTCTGGCGAAAAGACTGACGATGTACGCGACGGGAATGGGACAATAATCATGACCAGCAAGACATATTCGTCAAACCATTTTACCCTCCCATACTAATTTTGGTTTACCTCAAGCTAATTAAGGGGATGATCATGAGAGCTAGCAGACGTAGATAGATAGATAGATAGATAGATAGATAGATAGATAGATAGATAGATAGATAGATAGATAGATAGATAGATAGATATATAGATAGATAGATAGATAGATAGATAGATAGATAGATACTTAAAGTACCTGCAGTACGCAAAGAAATGCTTCACCATCAACAAATTGAATGAAACAAGTAAACGTTACATGAAAACGGAAAGTTTATATTTGAGGACTTTGCAAACACGCACTTGTGTTGATGGTTCGCTCCCCTGTAGTAAAGAGCCCAGCATTGCTAGATTGGCTATTTGTATGTATGTATGTTATGTATGTATGTATGTATGTATGTATGTATGTATGTATGTATGTAGTATGTATGTATTGTATGTATGTATGTATGTATGTATGTATGTATGTATGTATGTATGTATGTATGTATGTATGTATGTATGTATGTATGTATGTATGTATGTATGTATGTATGTATGTATGTATGTATGTATGTATGTATGTATGTATGTATGTATGTATGTATGTATGTATGTATGTAGGGTAGTATGTATGTATGTATGTATGTATGTATGTTTGTATGTATGTAGTCCTAGTTTGGTTTTGTTAGTGACTGTCCCGAAGCGGCACTAGATGTTGAAATCGTCAATGACAACAACAAAAAAAGCTAGCGCCAAGTGTCTTTACAGCAGTTACACGGGGGTCAAACGCGTAAAGTCATTTTCGTTTACTTGGTGCCGCGTTGACGGGCACACCAAGCACGTGCCAACGGATAGTAGAAGCGCAGCAATGATCGCAACAACGTGTGAGTGCACATGTGTGAGATGCAAGTGCATGTGCATACGCCCTCTCTTCTGCTGACGGCGAAAAACTATTCGATCGTGCTTTTGATCGTACCAGAAGGTGTTCATTCAATAGCTTTAGCGAAGAATTTTGAGGTAATTGGATGAATATATTTGCACATTGACACTAGAACCTACATTTTTTGCAGTCCAGAAAGATATAATGGAAAGATAAATGTTTTCCTGAATTGCTGGATATGCTAGCCTGAAGATGTATGGCCTGACATGCTGCGTGATCGATGGTAAACAACGCACTGATAAACGCTTAACATCACAAACAGCCGCACACACACACACACATAAATTACGCTGTTTACAAAATTATTTACGCAACATCACTTTCGTCAACAGGCTGAACGTCAACAATGCTTTCGTTGGAGTGTAACGCACAGATGGTGCTTTCCTTATGTGGTGAAAAAATTCCTCAGTTAGTTGAGTACCTTTGAAGGTGTCATGCCGCCTTTATAGACTGCCTCTCTGATGCGTATCGCCGGGAGTCACAAAATGCATGTTGCAGGTCTTCTGAGACGTCACACTGAATGCATTTTGGTCGGTCAGACAGTGTGATTTCGTCACACAATGAAGCCTGAGAAGTACATCACCACATTATTCTGCGGTGGATACCAGCGTTATACTTAATGCGCAGGGCAACGTCTACGTATATAGGCTGATCATTCTGCCAAAGCTGGACACAATGCCTCGATAGAAATAATCAAGATACCCTCGATGGGGAAAAAAAAGCGGTGACACTAGTATCAGCACACGCTTAGGCGTCTTCAGTGATCCTATACTGGATAAATTCAAGTCATACAAAACTGATACATTGTTTGGATTCAATGTTCTTTTTGACGTGATTCATCTTGATCACGTGCTCAGCGAAAGGACCCCATATCTAGCGTTTCACGATGTGCCTCAGAATCCTGAGGTTTTGGATGATCATCCACCCCAACTCCTTGTGATGCTCCTCAGTGTCCGGCTTTGTCCGACGCCCTTCGGTGCCTTTTACCTTGCGATGGGTCTCAATGTCAGGTGCCTCGCGACTTTTCCCGGCATCCCGTTCTCTCTGGCGCAATTCAGCGGCTTGCGCTTCACGACGGGCCTCAGCTTCCATCGCTTTTCGGCGTGCCTTTACGCACTTCTCGACGAGCTTCTACTTCTAGCGCTCTTCGGCGAGCTTCATTTTTACGCGCTTCCACCTCCACCGCCTTACGCCGCGCCTCTCTCTGACGCACTTCGGCGTCCTGTGCTTTGCAATGGGCCTCGATTTCTAGTGCTTTGCTGCGCGCTTCAGTGCTGTACTTGTATTCTCGGCTTTCTTATTCGGCAGGACTCAAAGCAGCTAAGTGGATGAACATAGCATGCTTAGCCCTATCAAAGTCATGCGCTTGCTCGGCGGATAAGTGTTTCAAAATGCTTGCGACTTCGTACGGAAGCAACGTGGCAAGCTTCTCCCACCAAAAGTGTCGGCCAAAACCAACATCTTCGCCGACCTTTTCAAAATGATTGAGAAAAGACACAATGTTCTCGTCTGCTCTGAAGAGTTCGGGTCGGTATTGTGCTCGCTGCAATTTAATCGCTTCAATTTCAAAAATCAAGCTCTTTTATTCCGAAAGCATGCTCTCGCTCTTTGTGACGCTGCAGGGGCGTAGCCAGAAATTTTTTTTCCGGGAGAGGGGGGGGGGGGTAGGGTTCACAGCGACCCGACTGGGGGGGGGGGGGGGTGCAAATGCATCAGCTTTCTTTTGTGACGTGACTATCAGTGGTAATTTGAGCAGATATTGTACATGTATATCAAAGTCATAAGTCATGAGACCCCCCTCCCCATGCGCAATTTATTGTTAAGATAATACGTAAATGTAATGTAGTAGCAGTAAAATACAGTAAACGACAGGTTCAGTGGTCGTTTGGAGCAACGGCCACTCGTCGCACCATTGAATAGACTAGTCTTCGAAAACGCATCATTGCGACGACCCGCCCGATCAGAGAAGACATCGTTAATCTCTACTAAAGGGCCACTCACCAGGTTTGACAGTCTTGAGCTGACAAGCGCAATGCGTAAACGAGGAGTTCATGATCGCGTCTGCCAAAATT